AATGGACGTCGTTGTTTTAGTTCACTGTCAGAATCTAAGAGATTATGCACAATATCTAAAACCTTCCTAATAGGAATATTAGTGAACATAGAGTAAACATAAAAACTTGCCATTAATTCATCTTCTTCTATGCAGATAGTAGTGATAATACCTTTGAATGCACTAGAATTTTTTTATTCCGTGTTTGATTTCACTTTCATATGTTTTAAAAATTTTGGCTAGATATCCAAAAAGATTGTACATTGATGACTTTGTGTAATAAACCACAGGTCTTAGTTAGACATCTTTTTTATGTATTTTTAGTACTCGATAAAATCTACAAAGCTTGGAAAAGATCGCCAAATTAAACGTTAGATTTACTCTATATTCATTCGCCGAGATTTCGCAATTAAATTCTTCTTCCTTAATGTCTCACATCAACTCGATGTTCAAATACTGTGAAAGTATTCGATTAAATTTAGACGACATCTTCCATCAGCTGTCCTTTATATATTTTATGATTCTTCCGATTCTGTTGTTATTCCAATTCTTCTCTTTTGCTCTTCCTATTCTCTTCCACTTCTGTTTAGTGCTATATACTACTTCCACCTGTCCTCATAAACAACACAAATCACGGTACGACAAGGTATGAAGAATAAAATGAATACATCAGTCTATGTTACAGTTACTTATCAACTTGTATACAACCTAAAATTACAATTCTTATTCAATGTTTAACATATATTCAGTTCTTAAAGTTGAGATAAATGTTCGAATTTTAATCCAAAACATAAGAAGAAGAAGAAGAAGAGGCATAGAGATATAAAATGTAGTTAAGATCAATTTTGTTCCGCGTGTTGAATGTTGCATTGTTTATTTTTTATAGAAGATGAATGAAAGTGAGATACTTTTTTTGGTAGCCATAGAATATTTGAATAAGGAAGTAAACATACAGTCTAATATATAATATGTATAACTTTATTTTATGCTCCTCTTAAATTATTCATATCAAACGGCATATATGATTGATTATGTGGAAAAGTGAATTTGAAGAAGGAATGATTTCTCTTTCTCCATCTTTCTGTAAGCAGTACAATTAATTTTCCGTAGTTTTAAACAGTTGAGATCACGAGTCAATTGAAGCTAAACTACCATGGAAAACCTGGAAGCACTGGATGGTTGCTTCGTCCTAGTATGGGACTCCTCAGAAGTGCGCATCCACGGCCCCGCCTCACGGGATTCGAACCCAGGACCTATCAGACTCACATCAGGCGCTTAACCAACTAGACCAATGAACCGGCATACAACGGTGTTAATGTCTAACGTCAACTAATCCACGAAATTGAGCGACACATTCACCATTGTCATCAGTGAGTTTCTGTAGTTTTATTGGAAATAATAGAATACCAATCATGTGTTAATTTATTTTATTTACTTTGTCTCAATTATGGATTGGGTTTGTTGTTTGTCTTTCCTTATTCTTTTATTATGTCAAAGAATTCATTTTTCAGATATGATTCAAACGAAACTTCCAAAAGGGATTCTTGAATACATTCGAAAAGATTAGAGATAAATTTCACCATAAACTGACTGTAGTTTAACAAACCTCTAAAATACTGAACTGATGATGTTGTACCAAAACATTGGATATGTGATATCATAAGATAGAGAGAACTAAACATTCTTAAGCTTAATCTCATTCTGCTGTTTTAATTATGATAAATCTTATTTAAGCACGATTCAACTATCCATTGTTTCTTAACATTCAGATGGTATCCAGCTAATGACTAATCATAATAAACACTAATCCTGAAATTACTTTAAAAAGGTTGTACTTCATATGACTACATACATTTGCCTTATTTTAATATTTACCAAGTATGTAAATAATAATAAGCAGGATACATATGTCAAACAAATCTGTATGTATCATTTCCGGCAGGATATTACTTTTTTCATTGATAGGAAAAATGATTTATCAACTTTGACCAATAGGTGATAGTATGGCCTTGAGTAATGACAATGATAAATTGATCACTGAGAAACATTTGGCAGAATTCATTGTTTAAATGCTTATTATTTTTTTGCATACATCAGAATCATACTTGCCTCACACTTTTAGTAATATCTCTGTAAAGTATTTTTCATTTAGGAGTTTCATTTTTAACCTAACAAAATAAATAGTTGTATCCGATAGCAATTTTACTAATCTGAATAACTAAAATTAGCTTCTCAATGTCAAATATACTATGATAATGATGTTATGATCTAAAGCAATCAATTTCTATGAAAAAATATTTCTTTTTAGTTAGTGTATGACATATATCCGAGAAAACTAGAAAGCACCGTTCTAGTATGGGACTCCTCAAAAGTATGCATCCATGATCCTGCATGTGGGACTCAAACTCCGAACCTTCGATATCGCGCGCGAACGCTTAACCTTTAGACCACTGAGCTGACTCATGAATTGAACTATCAAAAAAAATTTACTACAATCTCCACAAACCTCATTCTGAAAATATCAGAGAGTCGTTTTGTTTTCTGTGAACAATCTCATCAGTAGTATATTCAAATAGTATTTTCTAGAAATCACCTTTTGTTTTTTTTTGTAATTTCTTTAGAATGAATAATTTAAAATGTATAGCACAATTTTAGTATTTTCAATTTTCCATCGACTAGGAATACACAAGATTTTTCTAATAAGTTAACTACTATACAATCAATATTTTTTGTTGTTATATCCCAATGAGTAGAAAACTTGTGTTGCTGACGTTTCGTAACTTAATGTAAGCCAAAATAGAGAAAATAAAATTTACATAAATTTAAACTTGTGTTAATCTTATTTCAGTTATTGATTTTCTCTGAAGAAATGGCTTACATTAAGTTACGAAACGCCAGCAACACAATTCTTTCTGCTCATTAGGATATAACGACAACAAAAAATATTTAAAAGCAAAGAGGGATCAGTGGCTAGTAGTGAAATTCAAGACGGGCGTTTTGTCCTAATTGAAACTCAACAGCTGGATGTACCTGCATCTCAGAGTTGGTGCTCACTTCGGGACTTGGACTCAGTACAGTTAGCTTCAAACACCATCGCGTTATCTACTTCGCTACTGAGTACTGATAGCCAAATAGGACGAAACGCGTTTCCTGCATTCCACTGCTAGCCACTATCCATTTTTGTTTATAATGCTTGTGAATTGAGGCAATATCAAGGCAATACACACAGTATGCACATATACCAATAAGAGACTGATCAATTGTAGTGCTAAACATCAATGGGAAGATTCAAGTAAACAATATCAAGTGAATTTTAAAAAATATATTTATTATTAACTCCTAACCAATGCTCAATTTATTTGAAACTATCAAGTCTAACCTTTGCATTGACATCTATATATTATACAATCAATTTTAACTAACATTCTAAAGCAAGAGATTAAGTAAATCAACCTATTTCTAGAAGATAGTTTATTATCTAGTTTAACCATTTTTAAGTATAATATACTATGGATTCAAATAGTAGATCAGATACAATAGATAATGATGGAATTGAAATTGCTACTTGTTTAAATAGTTGAATGTGAGGTCTCAACTAGCATAATACTCACTTTGTAACCCGTAATTTTACTCATCAGTTATGGAAAGTTTTCTATGTCTTTCAGTCATCATACAAATATTTATGTGTAAAACTATATGAAATAATGATTCAATTAAGATGTTATGGTTTAACAATACATAAAATCAGTGGTCTGGGGGTTAAGCGTTCGCACGCGAGACCGGTACGTACTGAGTTCGAAACTCGCAAGCTGGGATCGTAGATGAGCACTGTTGAGGAGTCCCACAATAGGATGCAACAGCCGTCTAGTGCTTCCAGATTTTCCATGGTGGTCTAGCTTCAAATAACTCATGATCTCAACTATTGAAATTAATATTTAATCGTCATAGTTTACATACCAAACAGATCTCAGATAAACAACCATAGAAGACCAAGAAACATTACAGTTATTTTATCCTAGTATAGGAATTCTCAGCAGAGGATATCGATGACCTCACCAGTATTTGAGGACATCAAATCTAGGTTATGTAAACGAAGGCTTAACTTTCAGGCCTCCGAGCTGATATCCAGTGATATAGCGTAATCTAAACTTGAAACGCTCGTTTCATGACCTGAAATTCCTAGTTTCGATATCTGGTGAGATCATCGATGAATGGTGTTTGAAAATACCACATGATATGATGGAAAGAAAAGTCAATTTCTGATTGATTTACTCACTTTGAGTTTTGTTCAAGATTACTTCCGTTTTGATTCAATGTAATGAATACTCAATGTAGTATTTGTTTTATTGTCTCGCATGATATTTTATTCTGTATAATATACGATATTCTTGTATTCCATTGACATGAACTGTGCTCTGTATGTGATTTGTTATAACTCTAAGTATTTTTCATATATGTGATTTCATCCTAATTAATAATGAAAATGTGTGTATAATCAGTATATAAATGAGTGTATTTTCTACTAGTCGTCGTCGTGTTTTGGAGTTAATAAATCATCACTTATACCAGTCTTTGTGTTCTTACTTTCGCCTCGTGGGAATCGCAGAGGTCCCTCGTTCCGAGTATAAGTGGTAAGCATTTACGACATAACAATCAATGACGACCAGTTACAAAAAGTAGCATTAAAAGAGCCAAGACAATAGGCATTCAAATGACAAATTATAACACTACACTAAAGCAAAACAGACATCTACAGCCTCATGAATTGTAACTATTGTCGGACTAGTATCAATTGTGATCCCAATTTATGAAAATTCGATAATCTCCATAATCCTTAATAGTAAAATTGTTTAATCCACGTATCTTCGAATATATAGTTATCTATATTGATAATAATTATTCATAGACTATTTTAATAACAGAACTTGAGATACTAGAAAGTATTACATGTCTTGTATTCCTTAAGTGATCATTTAATTTGTTTCGTTAATTTCTTTTCTATTTGTTTAATTATACAATAGGTGATTCATGCCGAAGGTAGTAAACGTGTTATGAATGAATGTATACAAGTTGGAAGATGGCGTCGTTTTGTTCATGCACAATATTTAAATTGTTATACATATGATATACATGAAATCTATCGTAATCATGTACGTACCATTGAATTATTTGTTTATTTAGATGAATCAATGAATATTACTTCATGTTCTGATTGTTTTAGTTCAGAAATTAAATCACAATTAAGTGGAGCTGTAGTTACTGTACATAATGCAGAAACGTATCCAGATATAAATCAAGAAGGAATAAATATTCAACCGGGTAGTTTAACGGAGATAAAAGTTAAAACTATCAAACATACACAAAAAACACCGCCGTATGGACGTTGTTCACCTGATACTCCAACGAAAATTCATCTTTACGGTTCAGAAGTATATGCATACTCAGAACATGCATGTCGAATGAGTACTATACAAGTAAGTCGGTAATTTAAACAATTTACTGTCAACTTTTTCTGTAAAAATATAATCTATAGACGACCTTTGAGCGACGCTAAAGAGATCTTGAAAATGTCCGTCTACATACTACGGCTAAATGACGGTTATAAACTAGTGTGAGGAATCAGGATTAATATTTACAATTGATGTTTAGGGTTAGGAACCAGATATTGGTTTTTCATCACGAACTGATATCGGGTAAAATGCCAAAACTCCATTTAAAACCAAATGGATGAGTGAATTTCGCGCCAAAATTCAAGACCTGTTATCATAAATCTAATTGGTTTGTTCATGAATTATAGTCTCGCCACTTTTTCATTGAAGACTAGACTTGCTATAATATGCTGTTTATTTATTACGTCTAGAAAAATGTAACACAGAATATAAACACTAATCTAGTTTTATATTTGTTCCAAGATTTCAAGTGACTCTCAGAAAAAGTAATTAAAGTTAAGCGTTCGCGCGTGAGATCAAAGTTATCGGGTTCGAATCCCGTGTGTGGGATCGTAGGGGCGCACTGATAAGGAATCATGTACTAGGATAGGTTTCCAATGATGGTCTAAGATGTATCAAAAACTAAGCAAACTCCATAACCTTATATTGATAATTTAAAAAATATTTTGATAGATCATTATCAGATTATGCGTTTAACTCGAATAGCTTTTCAGTTTAGTTGATAATTATCTTTTAAGATGATAAAGTTGTAATTTTAGCTTGATAATAATTTTTTTAGTTTAGCGAAAAGAAAACAGTTGAATCTTTGTGATACAATACGTGATTCAGTTGGATGATACAGGTAAATGACTTTCATCTAGACTAGCTCAACTTAGTTATATATCGAAAATACGAAAAATATTGTAGCGAATGTCTAATTGATGAAGTGTTGTTAGGTTAAATTAATATGGATTTGATGCAACCACAAAGTATCATCAGTGTGAAGTTGTAGAGGTTGTAAAGTTTTTGATTGAGATCATGAACTGATGAATGTTAGACCACCATTGAAAACCTGAAGGCACTGGAATTACAAAAATGTTATGTTGATGAATTCAAATAAACATGAAGCCTAAATTGTATATTTCCTAGAAATTTTCAGTATTTTAACATACTACAGAATTGTATAAAGTAATAACTATGATGTCCAAAATGCTGTTAACTAAGAATCCATTCAAATTCAGCTTTCTTCCAAGTCAAATTAATTAATTATCAGAAGGGGTTTTGTGAAGATTTTAGAAATTTCACAGATTGAAATCATGAGTCAAATGAAGCTAGACCACCGTGGAAAACATGGAAGCACTGGATGGCCGTTTTGTCCTAGTATGGGACTCCTCAACAGTGTACATCCACGATCCCGTTCCCCGCGAGATTCGAACCCAGGACTTATCAGTCTTGCGCCAAGCGCTTAACCAACTAAACCGCTGAGCTGGCATCCCATAATAGGACGAAACGGCCGTCGAGTGCTTCCAGGTTTTCCATGATGGTCTAGCTTCAATTGCCCCATGATTTCAACCAGTGAAATTAATTAATTGTCAAAATTCTTTATATTAATGATGATCATAAAACGAATTTCACTGATTATTGACATTCCGACATATTCAATTTTTAAACCTAAATGGTCAGAATACATCATTATCATCATTTTATATAACACAGTTTGTGATATGTCATCCTTATACATTTGCATACATTGCATTGGATACTTAAGGTGAACATAATTATAAAAAAAACAAGAAAGGTTGTAAAATATGGGTTTTTGTTAGTTACCTACAAACTAATGATTTTCAAACTTAATTATTATACATAATAATCTGTTTTATTAAATCCCTAAAGGTTAATTAAGGTTCAAATCATTAGAACAGTGTAAAATTTTGAGTTCAAAAAACTGTGAAACTTTAATCAACCACTCTAAATATTCTTATGTTTCTATGTACGATTCAATTCTATAATGACTTAGGATTATCCAAAGTTTTCGGTAAAACCAAATTGAAACCAATTTTTTATACCAACATGTCCCCTAGATTCTATGTTTAGTCTAGTTTCCGAATATTCTCTCTAGATGGTACAGTTAATTTAAATATTTAAATACAAAATTACAGAACATCTTAGTAAAATCTGAGAATTATACAGTAAATAATTCATTTGCAAAATGTCAATCAGTTGTCTAAGACTTCATTGTTCTTTCGTTTTCACACCAATCATTTTCTATTCTCATTCTCTTTTCTTTGATTTTCTTAACCTTGTGTTGCCAAACATTTCACTTTCAAATGATGAGACATAATACTTATATCTGTCGACATCAGTAGCACACTACATATACGGAATGACGGACTATGATTTCTAGGTATAAATAAAATAGTTAAGATAAACGGAATTATATTTAATATCAGAAGGCGCTTTGTAGATATTACAGTAATTTCAATGGTTGAGATCATGAGTCAGTTGAGGCTAGACCACCACGGAAAACTTGGAAGCACTGGATGGCCGTTTCATCCTAGTATGGGGATTCTCAACAGTGCGCATCCACGACCCCGCCTCACAGGCTTCGAACCCAGGACCTATATTTAAATATCCACTGCTATAATTTAATCTGATTTTGGTGCTGTCTGTATTCAACTACTATTTACATCATTTTTGATAAATATGCATTACAACATGACATTAAGCATACACAGTGAAACCATATAAGATTATTCTATCTACTTATCATATAGTTTGGTGTTATTTATTTTTGTCTCAGAAATGAGAATTAGACAATGTAGAAAAAAATAATAAATAGGATGAAACCTGAGAACTTTCAGGGAGTGTTTTAAAAATAGAAAAATGAGAGATAGCAAAAGTGAACTGATACACATGGGAAGGATTTTGAAGAGAATAAGCTTAGTATTTTCTAAATTCGTTTGTTATAGTTTCCCATCTTAAGGAATGGTCATTTGAGAGGACATTTTAAGAAAGTTCCAAAACTGAAATCAAATCGTCTATGTCTGGAGTCCTGTTACTCGCATCGAGTAATGAATTACTGGAATTCTCTGCCAGAACATGTAATATCAGCACCTTCTTTTGATGTATTCAAAACACGTTTGGACACCCACAGTGTTGTAAACTGCAAGGATTAACATGGGTTGATAGGCCTTCTATCCTTACTACTGAAGACTGAATTTATTCACCTGTAAATGAACTTTCATACAGTATTGTTGGTATTTAGTGTTAATAACATTTCTAGTGTGATTTATGAAGCCAATAAAAAAATAATATGAGTAACAACAAACAGAAGATTGAATGCTAAAATACAAATTCATGAATAACTCATAGCATAACATTTTTGTTCACTGATCTGTATGCTGTTACAATGATACTTCATTAAGATGATAATCTATATTTGTTAGTCATCTAATGTGGCTAAGAACTTGAAATTTTCCTCTTCATGACCTGTCTACTGAATTAAAAATAACAGCTTAAATAGGAAACGGATGATATTGATAGATGTTGCTTCCTTGTTCATCAATGTACCATTATCTGAGGCTAATGACGTTTTTTGCCAACAACTACTTGAAAAATAAACCAATATCGGGATTCCCGAAGTTACTTCTTAGATGTAAAATGAATGTTCATTCTGTCTTTGATAACACATATAGACAAATTGATGGAATGGCTATGGGTTTATCTCTAGGTTCTATCCTTGCTAATTTAACTAAAAAACGGACCACTCAAAGAGGTTATCGATAAGCTTGACTTCTATTGTCGTTACACTGATGACACTTTCATTATCGTCGATCAGAACATTGGAAAAGACAAACTTTTAGAGCTATTTAACAATAAACATTTAGCAACCAAATTTATATGTGAAGAGAAACTTGATTTTAAACTACATTTTGGATATTTTGTTGGACAGAAAAGAAAGTGCATCAGTAGAAGTGTGTATTTGAAAAGTTCTTCAACAAGTCAATACATATATTTCTTGAGCTTTGTACCCATTCGTTATAAGAGAAGCCTAGTTAAATGTCTCGCAACTAGAGGTAGGAATATATGCTCGATCGATACTATAGAGAAGGAACTAGAGATTGTACAAAATATGTTGATTGAGATGGGTTATTTACAAGGTCTCTTGAAGAAACATTTGCATGTAACAAACAAGAAAGTAGCGACATCAACGGCTAGTAAGAAACCTCTCTTCCTGAAGCTGCCATTCAATGGAGATATAGCTGGTGATGTGCTACGGGATAGACTGATTAGAGCAGTTAAGAGAACGTTTAATGCATCTAGCCTCTGTCTATCGTACTCATCCGATCTATGACAATGATAAGTTACCAGGTCCTGCCACGTCCATGTGTATTTACGATTTTAGCTGCTTCTGTGAAGAAAGCTATATTGAGCGCACTACCAGACAGCTGAGTCACTGAGTTGGTGAACACTTTCCTTCGTGATTAGGATAGGGTGCCAACCAAACAACACTCATCTCTATTCTATCACAGTTGGTCGATAGTGTTCATATAGTAGATAGAAATAAGTTATTTAAAGTGAATAATCGTTTTCCTACTAGTTTTCCTTATAGGATACGATCTCATCTCTTACACATAGTAGAAGCTATAGGAATTCGAGCTAACAATCCAAGTCTATGTGTTCATAAGATATTTATAACACCTTTATCTCTCCTTTGGTCTTAATAAATGATTTCATTTATTACTATTTTTCATACTTTTTCTTCGTTTATTTCCCATTACAAAACATTGATTCAAGCCTTTATTATTCTTATTACGATTAGTACACCTATCGTCACACTATCCATTTGTACTGCTTACTTATTATGTTTATTTATGTAATCTATTCCGCTGTTATCAATGAATAATGCCTTGTATAGTCTAATAATTTAATATATGCATATAAATATTACTGTATATTAGAGTAAAGCCTAATATGGATCTAATCGACAATCATATTGTTTATTTGTGTTATCCTAAATGATCACTTATTATAAATCCAAATTA